CATTCCCGGGAAAACCGGGACCGCCGCGCCCCCATCCCGGCTGCGCCATTCCCGGGAAAACCGGGACCGCCGCGCCCCCATCCCGGCTGCGCCATTCCCGGGAAAACCGGGACCCCCGCGCCCCCATCTCCCCCATCCCGGCCGGGCCATTCCCGGGAAAACCGGGACTGCCACGCCCCCATCCCCCCAATCCCGGCCGCGCCATTCCCGGGAAAACCGGGACTGCCGCACCCCCATCCCGGCTGCGCCATTCCCGGGAAAACCGGGACCCCCGCGCCCCCATCCCGGCTGGGCCATTCCCGGGAAAACCGGGACCGCCGCGCCCCCATCCCCCCAATCCCGGCTGCGCCATTCCCGGGAAAACCGGGACCGCCGCGCCCCCATCCCGGCACCGAGGGGGGCCCAGCGGGGCTGGGCGGAGGATCTGGGACTTAGGGGGAGTTTCGGTGACATTCCCCTGGATTTACGGTGGATTTCCAGGGATTTATGGTGGATTTCCAGGGATTTATGGTTGATTTCCCTGGATTTCTGTGACATTCCTCTGGATTTCTGTGACATTTCCAGGGATTTGTAGTTGATTTCCCTGGATTTCTGTGACATTTCCATGGATCTGTGGTGGATTTCCACAGATTTATACTGAACTCAGGGGGAATTTCTGTGAAATTTCCATGGATTTATGGTGGATTTCCCTGGATTTCTGCTCTATTCCCATGGATTTATGGTGGATTTCCAGGGAATTTCTGTGACATTCCCATGGATTTCTGCTCTATTCCCATGGATTTATGGTGGATTTCCAGGGAATTTCTGTGACGTTCCCATGGATTTCTGCTCTATTCCCATAGATTTATGGTCGATTTCCAGGGAATTTCTGTGCCATTCCCATGGATTTACGGTGGATTTCCCTGGATTTCTGTGCCATTCCCATGGATTTACGGTGGATTTCCCTGGATTTCTGTGCCATTCCCATGGATTTATGGTGGATTTCCCTGGATTTCTGTGCCATTCCCATGGATTTATGGT